AATCCCATGGCATCGTGGTATTTAAAATTATGGGGGATTAGATCTTCGTTGGCACTGGCAAAAAAACCACTGGCAGGATTGCTGAGGTGCGGCCGCTCTTTAATGGGCAAACTACCCGCCCACTCATACCTGCCATCTCCGGGCACCGGTACCAGTCCACTGAAATTTTTCCTGATGGGAATCAGTCCTGCTGTTTGCCAGCCTATATTCCCTTTCCTATCTGCCCATACCATGTTCAATGCCGGCAGGCGTGCATAACTGCAGGCTTCACGAAAGCTGGTCCAGTTGCTGGCCTGGTCCATTCTCAGCGAAGCAAGATAGGGCGCAGCGCCGGTTTGCAGCCAGCCGGCCCGCAGGGCGTATGCTTTATGGTGGAGGCTGTCAATATACAAAATGGGGCCGTGTACACTGAACCTGAGCATGACCGTTACAGGCGCGGTACCTTTTATGGTAATTGTATCCTGCAATGCTTTCATCTGCAACCATTCTCCTTTATAGCGGTATTGATCCAGGTGTCCCGGACGAAGATCATATATATATAAATCTTCTGCATCGGTTTGGTGAACAGTAATTCCCCACGCACCTTCTTCATTATGACCAATGGCCACACCTGGAATCTCCGGTTCGCCGCCACCGGTTACATTCCAGCCCGGGGCATTGAGATGTACAATATAACGGAGTGAAGGCAACGCTATTTTACGGTGGGGATCGTTTGCCAGCATGGTATGCCCACTGGCGGTTCTGCTGCCTGCAATTACCCAGTTATTACTGCCTTCCATTTCGGGAGATGATGGCATGTTTTTTCCTTGCGTTGCGGTCATTTCGTTGCTGACTGTTGTTGCAGCATTGCGTCCGGCAATCATGCTGCTGTCTTCCGGTGTAAACAGCAGGTCTTTGCGCCAGGCATTGTACAGTGACAGAATGTCCTGCCCGAGCAATACAGTATTGATTGCACTGTCTATTTGCAGCAGCGGATCATCCGGATGAAACCACAACAGTTCTTTAATTTTCTTTTCGCCTACCATTGCTACCGAACGGCCCATATTTAATTCTTCGGTGATATTGCCCAGTATGCCCTGGTGTCTAGATATCACTACCTCTGGTGTCCATTTGCCCGGCAAAATGTGCAGCAACCGGAATTCAACGGGAAGTTGTTCCGGCTGCCTGTTCACTTCGTCAATATATGCGTTGATACCTTCAGTAAAAGCCTGTATGATTTGTTTTCCCTGGGGGTGATAATGGTTCAATTCTTTGTCCATATTGCCACGGAATCGGAAAAGCCTTGCGCCAATATCTCTCTGCAACTCACGCCCACCCAGTATGGCCGCCATGGTGCCGGTTGCCTGCCTTCGCCATATTTCAAGCTGGAATAGCCTGTCTTTTGCCGCACAATAACCCTGTGCAAAAAAGAGATCGTGCTGGTTGGCTGCATAGATATGATTAACACCCCAGTTGTCGCGCAATACTTCCACCGGCTGCTGCAACCCAGCAACAGGTAATTGATTTTCCTGCTGCGCGAATACGGCTGTTGCAGCTGTCTGCAGTATGCCCACACATACAAGCAAAAATGGGTTAAACAATTTCATGGCCTGAGTTTTAGTGTTTATGAAACCGCTTTCAATACAATGCGATGCCTGCCGTCTTTTTTTGTGTTAAGGCATTTAAAAATCAAACGGTAAACCACCGGCGGCCAGCTCTGTAACAACCTGGGGTCTTCAATGGGTACAGGCTCAATAGCAAAAGAAAGCACTGCAGGATCGTATTCAACAGCCATGGTAGCATTGCCAGTAAAAAAATGCAGTAACCCATCTCTCTGCTTTTCTACCCGTGCGCTGGTCAAGAAATGCAGTTCAGTATTGCCTTTATTTTCTGCCAACTGGTAGTCATCACTGATGGTAAAAGATTGTTTCCTTTTTAACTGGTAGCTGCGTTGCCATTTTTTAACCAATGCGTTGGCGGGGTAGGCTGCGGCAATATCAACACTGAAAACCGCAGTGGAAGCATTGGCAGTAAATGAGGCATTGCGTGCTGTAAACTGCTGGCCGTCTTTTTGCTCTACCCCATTTATCAGCGGCAGGTTATGAAAAGTGGAACGCATGGTCCAGATGCTGTAACGCTCCGGCCCAAAGGTTTGCCGCGTATAGGTTTCGCTGCCAATATCAATCAGCAATGGTTGACCATTGTAGAACAATATGCAGCTGCCTACATCATTGTGATTATGACTCTCACCATTATGCCCCGCCAGCGCAGAAAAATAAAATCCCTTAGCACTGCCTGCCGCATCTCTTGCCATCGCAATACCGGTTCCTTCCATCCAGGCATCTGCCAGGAAAGCGGGCTGAGCTTTTGCAGCCAGGATAGACGGAGCACTAAAAATATTCTGGATCCCGCCATAGATGGTTTCAACAGGAATGCTTTTTTCCCAATGCTGCTGCCTGGCGAGGTAAGCACCAAAACCGGTGAGCAGCCTATCGTTTGTGGCTTTGCCAAAATGATACACGATGCCGGCATCGGTGCTGAGTTTTGCTGCAGCGTCTGCATAGTTGATATAATAGCTGCTGTCTATATGCGCTTTGTATATGTAAGCACCAATATTCCTGATGAGCGGCCGGTTGAATATATTAACTGCTCCCCCGGTAGCCTGCTGTAGCAGCGTAAGGTAGTTGAACAGCATGCCGCCTGCGTGCGACCAGTAAGCAGGTCCTTCTTCACAACCTCCGTCTTCTTTGTAGTAGTTAATAAACCTGTCTACTGATTGCATGGTTTTGTACACACCCGCTGTTCTTTTGGTACTGTCGTCTT